ACCAGCCTGGCCAAGATGGTGAAAACCTGTCTCTACTAAAATACAAAAAATTAGCCAGGCGTGGTGGTGGGCGCCTGTAATCCCAGCTACTGGGGAGGCTGAGGCAGAGAATAGCTTGAACCCAGGAAGCGGAGGTTGCAGTGAGCCGAGGTTGTGCCACTGTGCTCCAACCTGGGCGACAGAGCAAGACTCTGTCTCAAAAAAAAAAAAAAAAAAAAGTGCCCTGAAGAAGAGTACAGCAGACAAGAGGGTCTAGGGACTGTGGGGGACTTCGCAGGTTTATTTAGGATGGACAGGGAAGGACAACTCATCCCTCTGATGACTTGAGATTTGCAAAGATCTGAAGAAATGGTGAGAACTACCAAAGGAGGCTAGGCAGAGGGAACGGCCAGTGCAAAGGCCCGGAGGCAGCAGATGCTTGCTGCATTTGAGGCACAGCAAGGAGGCCAGTGTGGCTGGAGTGTGGTGAGCACAGGTGACACTGGCAGGAGACGAGGGCAGCAAAGCAGCCAGGTTGGGTCATGTGGGACCTTGTGGCCATTCTGAAGATTTGTCATTTACTCTGAGATGGGTAGCCGTGGTAGGATTTTGAGTAGGGAAGGGACATGTCCTGACTTAGGTTTTTATTTCTTTATTTATTTACTTAGTATTTATTTGTGAGACAGAGTCTTGCTTTGTTGCTCAGGCTGGAGTGCAGTGGCACAATCTCGGCTTGCTGAAACCACCTCCTAAGTGCAAGTGATTCTCCTGCCTCAGCCTCCCTAGTAGCTAGGATTATAGGTGTATGCTACCATATCCAGCTAATTTTTGTAGTTTTAGTAGAGATGGGGATTCACCATGTTGGCCATGCTGATCTCAAGTGATCCATCTGCCTCGGCCTCCAGAAGTGCTGGGATTACAGGCATGAGCCACTGCGCCCGGCCTTGACTTAGGTTGTTTTTTTTTTTGAGACGGAGTTTCGCTCTTGTTACCCAGGCTGGAGTGCAATGGCGCGATCTCGGCTCACTGCAACCTCCGCCTCCTGGGTTCAGGCAATTCTCCTGTCTCAGCCTCCTGAGTAGCTGGGATTACAGGCACGCACCACCATGCCCAGCTAATTTTTGTATTTTTAGTAGAGACGGGGTTTCACCATGTTGACCTGGATGGTCTCAATTTCTTGACCTCGTGATCCACCCGCCTCGGCCTCCCAAAGTGCTGGGATTACAGGCTTGAGCCACCGCGCCCGGCCTTCACTTAGGTTTTTAAAGGATCACTCTAGAGAGTGCAATGTCGAGGGACAGGCTTAGGGGACAGGTGTGGGAGCTGAAGACAGAAGTTGGACATCAGTTAGGAGGCTACTGCAATAACCCAGGTAGGAGGCAGTGACTTGGTTTAGGATGATGGCAGAGGAAACAGTGAGAAGTGTTCAGATCCTGGATCTATTTTGAAGGTAGACATAGAATTTGCTAATGGAGGCCGGGCGCGGTGGCTCAAGCCTGTAATCCCAGCACTTTGGGAGGCCGAGGCCGGTGGATCACGAGGTCGAGAGATCGAGACCATCCTGGTCAACATGGTGAAACCCCGTCTCTACTAAAAATACAAAAAATTAGCTGGGCATGGTGGCACGTGCCTGTAATCCCAGCTACTCAGGAGGCTGAGGCAGGGGAATTGCCTGAGCCCAGGAGGCAGAGGTTGCGGTGAGCCAAGATCGTGCCATTGCACTCCAGCCTGGGTAACAAGAGCGAAACTCCGTCTCAAAAAAAAAAAAAAAAAAAAAAAAGAATTTGCTAATGGATGGGGTGAGATTGTGTGTGTGTGTGCATGTGTGTGTATGAGTGAGAGAACAGGCCGGGCATGGTGGCTCATGCCTGTAATCCCAGCACTTTGGGAGGCCAAGGTGGGTGGATCACTTGGGGTAGGGGGTTCGACACAGTGAAACCCTGTCTCTACTAAAAATACAAAAATTTGCTGGGCGTAGTGGTGCGCACCTGTAATCCCAGCCACTTGGGAGACTGAGGCAGGAGAATAATTTGAACACGTGAGGCATAGGTTGCAGTGAGCCAAGTTTGCACCACTGTACCCCAGCCTGGGTGACAGGGCAAGACTCCGTCTCAAAAAAAAAGAAAAGAAAAAAAGAAAAAAAAAAGAGAACAATTGGGCCCACCTCACTCCACGTGAACCAGATTCTTTGCAGATGGTTCATGGTATTTCTTTTCTTTTCTTTTTTCTGAGTCAGAGTTTCACCCTTGTTGCCCAGGCTGGAGTGCAGTGGCATGATCTCAGCTCACTGCAACCTCTACCTCCCAGGTTCAAGTGGTTCTCTTGCCTCAGCCTCCCGTGTAGCTGGGATTACAAGCATATGCCACCATGTCCAGCTAATTTTTGTATTTTTGGTAGAGACAGGGTTTTGCCATGTTGGCCAGGCTGGTGTTGAACTCCTGACCTCAAGTGATCTGCCCAACTTGGCCTCCTAAAGTGCTGGGAATAGGCATGAGCCACTGCACCCGGCTAGAGCTTGGTTCTCTAGTGGTGGTACTTGGAGCCTGTTTTTTGGAGGAGGTCTTTCCTAAAAACCCATTCTGGGAAGTGTCAAAGCAGGAAGTGAGACGCTGTGTTTGAGGTCCACAGTCCAGCTGGAATAAGTGGTAGAGAGAGGACCCTAGATTGTCAGGCCATTGGGCCACAGCATCAGGGCCTGGATCTGTGACAGTCCTTGGCCTCCTCTGAGGCTCTAGGCTCCTGGTTCACCTGTCCTGAATCCCTGTCTCTTGGGAGGCAGGGAGTGAGCTATTTGTGTAAGACTAAGGCTCTAGAATATGTCCCAAGTGCTCTGGCATCAGACACCCCACTCAGGGGCCAAACAGAAACCTGTGAAGAGTGGTGAGAAAAGTCTCTTCTTACACCCCTTCTTTACAAACACTATTTAGTACATTGCTTTTTTAGCTTTCATGTTATATTATGACTGGTTTCCCATGTCTTTAAATATTCTTCAGAAATTTAACTTTGATGATAACATATTATTCCCATTAACCATAACGTTATCATTCTCCAACTGTTCAAAAGATAGATTATTTCTAGCTTTTACTATTATAGTATACTTAACATCACCTGGTAACTGATCTCAAAGAAGTAATTAGAAATCAGTCCCCAAATTTTGAAATGAGCAACCAAGAAGTCTTTTTCATTTTCCACAGTTTTCCCACATTTTTTTTTCCTAAGAGACAGGGTCACACTCTGTCACCCAGGCTGTAGCACAGTGCGATGATTATAGTCTACTGTAACCTCAAATTCCTGGGCTCAAGCAATCTTCATGCCTCAAGTTTCCAAACAGCTAGGATTAATGGCACATGCCACGATTTCAGGCTAATTTGCTTATTTTTGTAGAGATGGGAGTCTTGCTATGTTGCTTAGGCTGGTTTTGAACTGGGCTCAAGCAATCCTCTCGCCTTGACTTCCCTAAGTGTTGGGATTATAGAGGTGAGCCATCATGACTTTTTTTCTTTTCTTTTCTTTTTTGTAATTCTGTTTTAGGGCTGGGCACAGTGGCTCATGCCTGTAATCCCAGCACTTTGGGAGGCCGAGGCGGGTGAATCACGAGGTCAAAAGATTGAGACCATCCTGGGCAATGTGGTGAAACCCCATTTCTACTACAAATACAAACATTAGCCAGGTGTGGTGGCACGCACTTGTGGTACTAGCTACTCGGGAGGCTGAGGCAGGAGAATCATTTGAACACAGGAGGTGGAGGTTGCAGTGAGCTGAGATTGTGCCACTGTACTCCAGCCTGGCAACAGAGCGAGACTCCATCTCAAAGAAAAAAAATTCAATTCTGTTTTAGAAAGGAAATCCCTCTTGTCAACATCTGAGTAATATCTGTCTTTACTATTATTATTTATGTCTGTTAGCTTTAAAGTTCACAAAGCATTTTCTTATATATTGTCTCATCCAATCAACACAGCAACTCTATGAAATAGGTTATTATTTCCATTTTACATTTGGGGAAATTAAGGCTCAGAAAGGCTATGTGACATGTTCAAGGTAACACATAGTGTCAGAACTGGGATGTGGACCCAGGTCTTGGGACTCCCAAAACTGTATCCTTTAACATGGGCAAAGTGCTATGCTGGGGCCTTGCCAGACACGTAGATGGCAGTGGGAGAAGGGCAGGTTTGGAACAGCTCCCCAGGCAGAGTGAGTGATGTTATTAGTAAGATACAGAGAAAGTGCTACAAACAATGGCTTTGCAAGGACAGAGCGTTTCCTTCCACGGAGGGCATGCTGTAAGCTTTGGGAAGAAACGTGGCCAAGTCAGGTCTTCAAAGGTGAATAGGATCTAGATACTCAGAATAAGAGGGACAGCTTTCCACAGGCTCAGTGAATGGGAAAGGAAAGTGTGGCTGACTGGGGAAAGTGCCAGCACCGGGAGCAAGAGATGGGGCGTGGCTGGGGAGGACTGGAATTGTAATTCTAGCCTGACCGAGGCTAGAGCCAGCAGGGCCTTGGGATCATCTCGGGAGGAAACCAGAGATGTGTGGAACAATTTGCTGAAGGCCTCAGAAGCAGGCAGGGAAAGGGCAGGGTCGGGTTCTTACTCTGGCCAATGCTCCTTCCCTGCAGTAAATCTGATTAATTTCAAACTCAGGTGCCATTTCCTTGGAATAATATTTACTGTGGGGCGCGAATGCTCACGCTTGTAATCCCAGCCCTTTGGGAGGCTGAGGCAGAAGGATCCCTTGAGCCCAAGGTTCAAAACCAGCCTGGGCAACATAGTGAAGCCCTGTGGTTAAAAAAAAAAAAAAATTAAAATTGGCCGATAGTGGTGGCACGCGCCGTAGTCCCGGCTTCTTGGGAAGCTGAGACAGGAGGATCACCTGAGCCCATAGAGGTCAAGGCTGCAGTAAGCCATCATCGTGCCACTGTAGTCCAGCCTGGGCGACAGTGCGACAGCCTGTCTCTGAAAAAGAAAAACAATGTTGTTCAAGTTGTGTAGTGTACGGGAGGAAAGAAGTATGCCAATAACATAGGACAGCAGCCGGCTCTTTTTTCCTCAGGATGTGGAGAGTGGGCGCCTCGGGAAGATGAAATTGAGTATGTGCGGGGGAGGGGTCAGATGAAACAAGGTCGGGAGGGGGCGGGGAGAGCTGGGGCGCTGGAGGAGCTGGGGCTCGCGCTGCGGGGGAGGAAGCGCCTTCTGCGGTCGCTGGAGGGAAGTGGCTAGGAGAAAGCTGGGGCTGTAGAGGGGTCTGTTGGAGGGTCTGGGAAAGCAGGCATGGACGCGGGACATTTCCGCCCGTCACCCTGGCAAAGTGCTCGCAGGTCTGGAGGAACAGAGGTTCTCAGACCCAAGTGGAGAAAACCGGGAATTGTTCCGGCTCTGGGGACTGACACTCATCGCGGCAGTTCTAGTGGGAAAACAGAGGAAACAAAGGAATGATGAAATGAACTGCGCTGCCTTCTTGCCCCGGATGAATGTTCAGCCATTAGAGAAGAGTGAATCCCAGCTGGGATTTGGGGTTCCACAGTGTACTAGAAAAGCAACACAAAGAGAGGCGCCTACTAGAGGATGCCATTTTGGAAAACAAAAGCAAACGCGCGCGCGCATGTGTATTTGTGTGATGTTACATGGGCATGGGGAAATTACGGAAGTAAATACGTATGCTTGTGTAAATTGGGATGGTGGAAAATGAGGAAGAGGGCGGCGGGGAACCCTTAGTACTTACAGAGAAAACGGAGCAAGTTCTCATAAGCACACCAAAACCCCCTCCCCGCCCCCGTGCCCGGGCTCCGCGCTCACGAGGCTAGGATGACGCCCGTGGGACGCCCCAGGGGCCCTGCCCGCATCCACGCTGCTCAGGGTTACTTCTAGTCTCTCCGCTCTTTGTTAAATAAAGAGGGTGAGATAGCGACAGGCTGGAGCCAGCAGCGGTTGCTGAGGCCGAAGGGTGGAGGAGACCGGGCCGGGAGCCCCTCTCTCCTGTCACGCTGCAGCCGCCCCAAACAAAGACAACTGCGTCCGATGGGAGTGCAGGGGCCCCTGCGCGCAGGACCTGAATCGCCTGTCCTGTCTGCCCCTGACGCGCACGCACTCAAGCGGCCGCCCACTGCCCTTCTATCCCCTAGCCATTTGCTTCCCACCCCTTGATTTTTTCTTTACCCCTCCCCTAAGCATCCTCCCCAACCTCTGATAAACTTTATAATAAATTTACCTAGTCTAGGTATTTTGTGTAAGTGGAATCATACAATATTCGTCCTTTTGTGCCAGGCTTATTTTGTTTAGTATAACGTTTTTTATTTTCTTTTTTTCCTTTAATTGAGACAGGGTCTCGCTCCCTTGCCCAGGCTAGAGCGCAGTGGCGCCATCTCGGCTCACTGCAACATCCACCTCCCGGTTTCAAGTGATCCTCCCACCTCAGCCTTCTGAATAGCTGCGACTACAGGCACAGGCCACCTTGCCTGGCTAATTGTTGTATTTTTGATAGAGATGAGGTTTTGCCACGTTGCCCAGGATGGTCTCCAACTCCTGAAGTCGAATGATCCTACCCCCTCAGTCTTCCAAAGCGGTGTTAACTACAAGCCTGTGAGCCACCATGCCCACTGCTTAGCATAATCTTTTCAAGCTTCATTCCAGCTGCAGTATGTATGAGAACTTCATTTCTTTTTCTTTAATGAGATGGAGTCTCGCTCTGTCACCCAGGCTGCAGTGCAGTGGCACAATCTCGGCCCACTGCAACCTCCCCCGCCTGGGTGCAAGCGATTATCCTGTCTCAGCATCTTGAAGTAGCTGGGATTACAAGCGCCTGCCACCAGCCAGGCTAATTTTTGTTTTTTTTTTTTTTTTTTTTTTTTTTTTTTGAGACAGAGTTTCGCTCTTGTTACCCAGGCTGGAGTGCAATGGCGCAATCTTGACTCACCGCAACCTCCGCCTCCTGGGTTCAGGCAATTCTCCTGCCTCAGCCTCCTGAGTAGCTGGGATTACAGGCACGCGCCACCATGCCCAGCTAATTTTTTTGTATTTTTAGTAGAGACGGGGTTTCACCATGCTGACCAGGATGGTCTCGATCTCTTGACCTCGTGATCCACCCGCCTCGGCCTCCCAAAGTGTTGGGATTACAGGCTTGAGCCACCGCGCCCGGCCCAATTTTTGTATTTTTATTAGACACGGGGTTTCACCATCTTGGGCAGGCTGGTCTCGAACTCCTGACCTCCTGAGCCACCCACCTCGGCCTCCCCAAGTGCTGGGATTACAGGCATGAGCCACCACACCCAGCCAAGAATTTCATTTCTTTTATTGTATTTGTGGTAATATGTATACAATATAAAACTTCCTTTTTTTTCTGGGAGTTTCGCTCTTTCATCCAGGCTGGAGTGCAGTGGCCTGATACCCGCTCAGTGCAGCCTCCACCTTCCGGTTTCAAGTGATTCTCCTATCTCAGCCTCCTGAGTAGCTGGGACTACAGGCAACCACCACCATACCCAACTAATTTTTGTATTTTTAGTAGAGACGGGATTTCACCATCTTGGCCAGGCTGGTCTCAAACTCCTGACCCTGTGATCTACCTACCTCAGCCTCCCAAAGTGCTGGGATTACAGGTGTAAGTAACCACACCTGGCAAAACTTCCTATTTTAACCAATTAAGTGTACAGTTTAGTGGCACTAAATATGGCACTAAACATCACACGGTTGTGCAATCACCATCATCATCCATCTGTAGAACGATTCCATCATCCTAAACTGAAACTCTGAACCCATGAAACAACTCCTCCCTCATTTCCCTCTATCCACCTCCCGGCAACCACCATTCTATTTTCTGTCCTTATGAACTTAGGAGCATCACTTTTCTGGGACATCTGCAATGGCTCTCTGGAGGATTGTGTCTCCCCTTTTTAAAAAATTTTTCTTTGTTCTTTTCTTTTTTTGTTTTTAGTAGAGAAGGGGGTCTCACTTCATTGCCCAGGCTGGTCTCCAACTTCTGGGCTCAAGCAATCTGCTTGCCTTGGCTTCCCAAAGTGGTGGGATTACAGGCATAAGCCACTGTGCCCCACCTGTGGTCTCATCTTGGAAGGCAAGAGGGATAGAGGCAGCCATAATCGGCCGGGCCTGGTGGCTCACGTCTATAATCCCAGCACTTTGGAGGCTGAGGTGTGCGGATCACAAAGTCAGGAGAGTGAGACCATCCTGACCAACATGGTGAAAACCCATCTCTACTAAAAATATAAAAATTAGCTGGGTATAGTGGCGCATATGTGTAATCCCAGCTACTTGGGAAGCTGAGGCTCAAGAATTGCTTGAACCCAGGAGGCATAGGTTGCAGTGAGCTGAGATCTCACCACTGCACTCTATCCTGGCATTAGAGCAAGACTCCGCCTCAAAAAAAAAAAAAAAAAGATAGCCATAATCTGGAGAATATTGAGATGTGGACAACAAGGAAGACAAAATTTGGTCCTATGAGAAATCATCTGTGAGGAAGAGTGGACGGAACTGAGCATGTTCAAGACAGTGAGATCTTCAAATGATTTCAATTCATGTAAGAAAACCAAAACCAGAAAACAAGGAGGTTTCAGTTTATCAACAGATTTATTACTCAAAAAAAGTTTCTTTTTTTTTTTTTTTTTTGAGACAGAGTTTCGCTCTTGTTACCCAGGCTGGAGTGCAATGGCGCGATCTCGGCTCACCGCAACCTCCGCCTCCTGGGTTCAGGCAATTCTCCTGCCTCAGCCTTCCGAGTAGCTGGGATTACAGGCGTGCGCCACCATGCCCAGCTAGTTTTTGTATTTTTAGTAGAGACGGGGTTTCACCATGTTGACCAGGATGGTCTCGATCTCTTGACCTCGTGATCCACCCACCTCGGCCTCCCAAAGTGCTGGGATTATAGGCATGAGCCACCGCGCCTGGCCTAAAAGTTTCATTTTTTATTTAGCTTTCTGACTCCGTGCTTTTGACTTCAACACTTCACAACGATTTTCTGCTCCTCGATAAGGAAAGCATGCTTGATCCTGTCACGAACACAGTTAGCACACATGGAACCACCATAGGCCCTGATGACATGTTTCTTTGTTTTGAACAACCTCATAAGAACTTTAGGCCTTACAGCACAAACCCCTCGAAGTCTGCCTCGGCACAGTCCACATGCAGATTTTGGTGCTTTCCCAACCTTCTTGGTATAAAGGTAAACAATTCTATTACCAGAGGTTTGGGACAGCCTAGTTTTGTTTCAGGCAATATTGTAGGAAAGCCTACGTCATTATGTCAAACGCCAGACCATTTTTGAGTGCCTCTACACTAGCTCAAAGGACTGCTCCTGAGAGCTCTAGGCTTCCTTGGCTCCTTGGATGGCAGCCCACTGTGAAGGAAGTAAAGACAGGGAAAAGACAACAGCAGCCATACCTGCAGACAACATTCTATCAACAGATTTAAAAGGAGCAAGCACTGTGATGTAACTGGAGAAGACTCAGGCGATCACACAGTCTGTCTTCACCCAAGTGAAGGGTGATTATGTAGGAAAGTGGATAGAAGATACTGTCAATAAAAATATAAAGGGAATCGGTCGGGCACGGTGGCTCAAGCCTGTAATCCCAGCACTTTGGGAGGCCGAGGCGGGTGGATCACAAGGTCAAGAGATCAAGACCATCCTGGTCAGCAAGGTGAAACCCCGTCTCTACTAAAAATACAAAAAGTTAGCTGGGCATGGTGGTGCGTGCCTGTAATCCCAGCTACTAAGGAGGCTGAGACAGGAGAATTGCCTGAACCCAGGAGGCGGAGGTTGCGGTGAGCCGAGATCGTGCCATTGCACTCCAGCCTGGGTAACAAGAGCAAAACTCCGTCTCAAAAAAAAAAAAATATATATATATGTATAAAGGGAATCATGTTAAAAATTTTTCAGTAGCCGCATTTGTTTTGTTTTGTTTTGTTTTGAGATGGAGTCTTGCTCTCTTGCCCAGGCTGGAGTGTAGTGGCAGGATCTTGGCTCACTGCAACCTCTACCTCCTGGTTTCAAGTGATTCTCCTGCCTCAGCCTCCTGAGTCCCTGGGATTACAGGCATACCACCATGCCTGGGTAATTTTTGTATTTTTAGTAGAGACAGGGTTTCTCCATGTTGGTCAGGTTGGTCTCAAAGTCCTGACCTCAGGTGATCTGCCTGCCTCAGCCTCCCAAAGTGCTGGGATTACAGGCGTGAGCCACTGCACCTGGCCAATTTTTAAACTAATAATGAAAGGGTGGACATGGTGGCACACACCTGTGGTTCCAGTTACTCAGGAGGCTGAGGTGAGAACACCGCTTGAGCCCAGATAGTTGAGACTGCAGCAAGCTGTGTTCATGCTACTGTTCTCCAGCCTGAGCGACAAAGCAAGACCCCATCAAAATAATAATAGTAATAATGAGGCATCTCACATTCTTCTTTTTTTTTTTTTTTTTACACTTGGTCTCTGAAATCAGGCTGGCTACATTTCAAGTGCTCTCTAGCTACCTACAGCCACTGTACTGGACAGTGCAGGGTTGGAATCTGGACTTAGGAGTCAGACAGGGCTGGGGTCAGGCCCCACATTCCATCCCTTACTAGGCTGTGTGACTAGGCACATTACTTAAGCTTCTCCTATTTCTGTTTCTTCATCCATAAAATGAAACTAAAAATAGTACCTACTTCATAGGGTAATTTTGTGGATTAATGGCATATGAAGCATACAGTACATGTTCAGTAAATGTGGGCGATTATTAGCAGTAAATTTGGTGGTCACTGAATTATGACATTGCAGTATCACTGTTAGGATGACCTCCATTCCCATCAGATGATGTGGCTTAGAGATATTCCAAATGCGCAAGGTTAAAAAACAATAGACGAACCAGGAAAACCTATTTGTAACACATATGAAAACAAAATGTTGTTATTCTTGCTATGTAGGACGTGCTAGCAAATAAATAAGAAAATGAATACCAATGGAAAATTCAAAAGAAACAAACATCTGAAGTAATTTTTTTTTTAAGCAAGATCCACTTTAAATAGGTTCACCTCTCCTTGGAATCAGACATAAAAATAAACAAAAGACATTGTTTTGTTGTTTTTATTGTTGAGTAACAGGTCAACAGCCAGAATTTGGTGGCACCTAATACTCAAGGAGATGTGGGGAGATCCCTTCTTTTTTTACATCAGTATTTCCTGAAGTTTTCATTGTTAGATCTGACCACAGACTATCTGGAGAAAAGAGCTGAGTTCTTGCTTCAAGGAGGAACTAGCCAGCCTTTTCTGCCCACCTTTTTCCTCTTCCAGATAGAGCCTAACAGCCAAGAAACCTCTCCTAGCACGTTGACTTTTTCCTTGTCATGTGTGCAGACTCTGCACATTAGCTTTGCTAATAGTCCTTTACCACAGGTGCTGACATTTCACGTGGCTTGAAATAGCCCCCAGCATTGTTCTACATTTGGACAGGGCTGACATACTTAAGCCATAACACCCCAAGAATATTCTTAGACTTCTGGCTAACTACTTCAGGAACGTTTTATCTGCCAGTAGTATTGGCTGCTTAATTTTCAGGGCCCAGGAGAAAAATGAAAATATGGGCCCCTTTCTAATAAAAGGAGGAAAAAAGCTCTTTCCTTTTTTCTGCAGTGTCTCTCACAACCTGTCATGATGTTTTTATTTGCTATTTATTGTTCTCCTTTGGACATGGAGATATTTCAGAGGTAAGTGCAGGGCTTCACAGATGCCTGGGACCCTGCTGCAAGACAGCATGCATTTTCCAGTCCGGGAAAACTTGATGGGGAGTGGGGTGAAGAGACTAATGCTTTTTTTTTTTTTTTCAAGACAGAGTTTTCCTTCTTGTTGCCCAGGCTGGAGTGCAGTGGCACAATCTTGGCTCACTGCAAGCTCTGCCTCCCAGGTTCAAGCGATTCTCCTGCCTCAGCCTCCCGAGTAGCTGGGATTATAGGCATTCATGCCACCATGCCGGGCGAAGTTTTTTGTATTTGTATTTTACCTTTTGAGACACAGTTTTGCTCTTGTTGACAAGGCTGGAGTACAATGGCACAACCTCAGCTCACTGCAACCTCTGCCTCCTGGGTTCAAGCGATTCTCCTGTCCCAGCCTCCCGAAGTAGCCAAGATTACAGGAGCCTGCCACCATGCCCAGCTAATTTTTTTGGATTTTTAGTAGAGATGGGGTTTCATCATGTTGACAAGGCTGGTTTCAAACTTCTGACCTCAGGTGATCTGCCTGCCTCAGGCTCCCAAAGTGCTGGGATTACAGGTGTGAGCCACAGCGCCTGGCCCAAGAGACTAATTCTGACTGATCTAAGTCCTTAGTCTTCTGTTCTTTGCATTCAGCTCCACAATGGTGCCTGGAGCCAAAATGGCCGGGCACGGTGGCTCAAGCCTGTAATCCCAGCACTTTGGGAGGCTGAGGCGGGTGGATCACGAGGTCAAGAGATCGAGACCATCCTGGTCAACATGGTGAAACCCCGTCTCTACTAAAAATACAAAAATTAGCTGGGCGTGGTGGTGTGCGCCTGTAGTCCCAGCTACTTGGGAGGCTGAGGCGGAAGAATTGCTTGAACCCAGGAGGTGGAGGTTGCAGTGAGCCGAGATTGTGCCACTGTACTCCAGCCTGGCGCTTGGTGAAACAGTGAGACTCTGTCTCAAAAAAAAAAAAAAAAAAAAAAAGATACCTCACGGTCCAGCCATCCCAAGGGGAGGGAGGGTCACAAGGTAACAGGAAACACTGAAAGAGAAAAAAAAAAAAAACACAGACTAGGAGATCAAAATATTATCTCTGCACACGCAGCAGTGTCTGAGAGCTGGGTTAATGAGTATGCCTCAGAGAGCTGATCCACTCTGTGTTACTAACCCAAGTCTTGAGCCAGGCAAGGTGGAGGACCAGTCAGGCTAAGCTCTGAGGTGAGGTGATATAGTGGGGATCTCTGTGACAGCAACGTGACCAGTGAGACTGGAGCGATGCAGCTGTCAGTGAAGTACTGCATGCTAGCAACCACCAGAAACAAAGATGCAATGAGCACGTTCTGCCCGAAAGTCTCCACAGGAGACAAATCCTGCTGATACCTGGATTTCAGTTTAGTGACACTGATTTCAGAATTTTGGCCTTGAGAAATGTGAGAGAAGAAATTTGTGTTGTTTTAAGCCACCAGGTTTGTGGTAATTGTTACATCAGCCATACGAAACAAATATGTCCCCAAACAGGTGTGGAAATTGAATACAATTCAATTTTCCCTTCCAATTCCATTTTTCTAGAATTTGACAAAATTATTCTAAAGTTCTCTTGAAAAAAAAAATATAAACATGAATAAGTTGTTTTCTTTTTTTTTTTTTGAGACAGAGTTTCACTCTTGCCCAGGCTGGAATGCAATGGTGCCAGACCAGTCTTGCCAACATGGTGAAACCCTGCCTCTACTAAAAATACAAAAATTAGCCGGGTGTGGTGGTACATGACTATAATCCCAGCTACTCGGGAGGCCGAGGCAGGAGAATCACTTGAACCTGGTGGGGGTGGGGTGGAGGTTGCAGTGAGACAGAGCAAGAGCGTTTCCAAAAAAAAAAAAAATGTTTACAGTCAGGGTCTTGCTCAGTTACCCAGGCTGGAGTGCAGTTGTGGGCTCAAGAGATCCTCCTGCCTCAGCCTCCCAAGCAGCCGGGAGTATAGGCACGTGACACCATACCTGGCTAATTTTTTTTAATTTTTAATTTTGTAGAGGTAGGGTCTTGTTCTGTGTTGCTCAGTCTGATCTTGAATTCCTGGTCTCAAGTGGTCCTTCTTTCTTTTGTTATTTATTTATTTATTTATTTATTCATTCATTCATTCAAGTGGTCCTTCTTGAGACCTTGGTCTCCCAAAGCATGGAGATTACAGGCATGAGCCAGGGCTTCTGGTCAGTATTTTATTTTTTAAGAACAGCTTTTCTCTACTGGCACGCAGTGTGGTGGCAGCAGGTGTGGCCTTGAAATGCAGAACGACGCTGGCAAGTTCATGGACCTGTACATGCCACGGAACGCCAGCAACCACGTCATCGGTGCCAAGGACCATGCATCCATCCAGATGAACGTGGCCGAGGTTGACAAGGTCACAGGCAGGTTTAACGGCCAGTTTAAAACTTACGCTATCTGTGGGGCCATATGTAGGACGGGTGAGTCAGATGATTACATTCCCTGATTGGCCAAGGCTGATGGCATTGTCTCAAAGAAATTTTGACTGGAGAGAATCGCAGATGTGGAGTATTTGTCATAAATAAATAGTGAAAACCTAAAAAAAAAAAAAAAAAAAAAGAATAAATTTGAATATGGTTCATTGCAAGGTATATTATTTTCACTGAGCACCTAGAATTTCTCAAGTTCTTTGTATATTATATGAGTCTTTCACAGCAACGTTAAGGGACAGGTGAAATAAATAGAAAATAATTCCTGGCTGGGTGCAGTGGCTCACGACTATAATCCCAGCACTTTGGGAGGCCAAGCTGTGTGGATCACCTGAGGTTGGCAGTTAGAGACCAGCCTGACCAACATGGAGAAACCCCATCTCTACTAAAAATACAAAATTAGCCAGGCATGGTGGCGCATGCCTGTAATCCCAGCCACGGAAGACTGAGGCAGAAGAATTGCTTGAACCTGGGAGGTGGAGGCTGCAGTAAGCCGAGATCTCACCACTGCACTCCAGTCTGGGCAACAAGAGCAAAACTCCGTCTCAAAAAAAAAAAAAAAATCCTATTTACAGAGTAGGCAGTTAAGAGCCATTGTCAACCATCTAGTAGGCATCAGGACTGGGGTTTGAAAGCACTTCTCTAAAGTCCATGTCTTTATTTGTAATGCCAAAAGACTGGAAACAACCTAAACATCCCTTGGTGGAAATCACTTAAATTATAGTACGTCCACACAATGCAATACTCTGCAGCCACAAAGATAGATAAAAATGAGGATACTCTCATATACCAATAAGGAAATGTCTCCAAGATAAGACTGTTAAAGAGGGGGAACACCCAACAAATGTGTAGAACATGTGTACAGATTGGCACCATTTATGTTAAAATGGAGTAAAGAAGGGTATAAATTTGTTTTAGCTTATATGTGCATAAAAAACGTTAGAAGGATAAACACAAACCTAATAACAGGGTTATCTATTTAAGGTGGGGGAACTGGGCATTTGTGGACAGGGACAGGAGAGATGGACATCTTTTAATTTTTTTTTTTAAGAGACATAGGGTCTCGCTATGTTGCCCAGGCTGGAGTACAGAGGCTATTCCCAGGCGCGATCCCACTACTGATCAGCACAGGAGTTTTGACTTGCTCCATTTCTGACTGGGCCAGTTCATCCCTCCTTAGGCAATGTGGTGGTCCCCTACTCCTGGGAGGTCACCATATTGATGCTGAACTTAGTGCAGACGCCCGACTGGCATAGCGCACTATAGCCCAGAACTGGACTCAAGTGATCCTCCAGCCTCAGGCTCCTGAGTAGCTGGGACTACAGGCACACGACACTGTGCCCAGCCATCTTTTCATTTTTTTAGTTTTGACTCATATACATAAATTACCTGTTCAAGAAAGCAAATACATATAAACTTTTCTTTGTTTTTTTGAGACTGAGTCTTGCTCTGTCGCCGAGGCTGTAATGCAGTGGCGTGATCTCAGCTTACTGCAACCTCTGCCTCCCAGGTTCAAGTGATTCTCCTGCCTCAGCCTCCCGAGTATCTGGGATTATAGGTGCGCGTCACCACACCCAGCCAATTTTTGTATTTTTAGTAGAGACGGGGTTTTGCCATGTTGGCCAGGATGGTCTCCATCTTTTGACGTTGTGATCTGCCTGCCTCAGCCTCCCAAAGTGCTGGGATTACAGACGTGAGCCACTGTGCCCGGCCACATATAAACATTTTTAAGGCAACACGAAATTAAAACTGCTGTCCCTTCCTTCCACTGTACCATGTGCCTTAGACATCTCTGGAGGGCAGTCTGCCCCCCTTTCCAATGAGTTCCACAGGGCAGCAGGACTCAGGATGCCCTGGCAGCTCTAAGGATGGCTTCAGTACAGCCTGGGGAAGGTGGCCCTGCCAGCAGGCAGCGCCAGGCCAAGTGTACACTCTTTCCTTATCCCTGACTCAGAAAAACAAAACCAACAGGCAAATCCACTTGTCAGCATTTCTGAAGCCAGTTGTTAACCAATCCTCTTCCTGCCCTTTACTCTCCTTTTCTTCCTTTTTCCAGAAAAACCTGGAAAGCTCTGTAACTACTTTTCAAAGTGCTTTACTAGCTCTGGCTGCCTTGTTGTTTTCTTTCTCTAGTTTGGCCTGTGTCATCCTCTCAGGCAAGTACTGCAGTCAGACTTCCTGCCAGCTTCCCTGCTGGGTTCATCTGTCTTAAAAAAAACAAAACAAAAAACCTGTGTTTTCAGAGAACTGACAAACCTCAAATCTGAAGTTATTTTGTCCAACACTCCACCCAGTGCAGAAGAACCCAGTTGTAAAATTTAGCAGAGTAAATCTATTTGCTTTTAAAACCCAATCCTGTGGTTTCACTTTGTCCATCCAATCAACTAGGAGTGACAGCTCTCATAAAATATTTGCTCTTGTGAAGAATCCCATGGGCCAGGTCTATTTGTGTGTGGAGTCTAGTGGTGTACTGAGCCCCAGTAAATTTCCATTCAGTAATTCAGTGACTGTTAATTGACACCTAATATGCATCCATCGCTGTCTGAGGCCCTGTGCTAGGGATAGAAACAAACACGGAGACTCAGCCCCTGCCCTCAAATCTCTAACAGCCGTGTTACCATACCTTCAGGTCATCAACGTGCCTGGCCTAATTTTGTTTTTTTAAATCTATCTGCAAGGTATCAATTATATCACTGTGTTATGGACATTTTCATGGTGAGCTATGTGTCAGAATATGATTTATGGGAATGGGTTTCTCTTTTTTTTTTTTTTGAGGTGGAGTTTCGCTCTTGTTACCCAGGCTGGAGTGCAATGGCGCGATCTCGGCTCACCGCAACCTCCGCCTCCTGGGTTCAGGCAATTCTCCCGCCTCAGCCTCCTGAGTAGCTGGGATTATAGGCACGCGCCACCATGCCCAGCTAATTTTTTGTATTTTTAGTAGAGATGGGGTTTCACCATGTTGACCAGGATGGTCTCGATCTGTTGACCTCGTGATCCACCCGCCTCAGCCTCCAAAAGTGCTGGGATTACAGGCTTGAGCCACCGCGCCCGGCCTCTCTTTTTTAAAGTTTTGGGGACATAGCTTTTATATTACAAAGATAATGTCCAAGTTCAAACTCTAAGTAATATAATCCATGTAAGATTCATTAGCCTTTCAGGGTGTTAATTTTGCCATAACAGTGTCATAGCTTTCAGCTTTCATTAGCTAGAATTCCTCAGCTAACGTGCAGGAAATCTGAGAGTTCTGCCAGGTGTGTTCAGTAAAAGATTTTGCTCAAATCAAATGCAACTCTACAAGCAAGTCATTTTCAGAGACACTGAGCTTGGCAGGGATTCAGGTGACTAGAACCATACCATATACTCCCCAGATGATGCTGGGCCAGAATACGTCTTCGAGCACTGTTCAATTCACGGGGCACACAGAGCAGAAGGCTCCATGGGGGCAGCATGCTCACTCCCGATAACAAAAGCACAGCATCACCAGGAACCATACCTCGACATTCATTCTTTGCTGGCTTATTCTCAAAGGAAAACCCCAACCAGAAGATAATGAACACCACAGACTGTTAGAAGCAGCAAGAAGCTACCGCACATTTGTGGCTCCTACACATCCACCCAAAACATACCAGCAGGAATAAAGAGCAATAGATTACTCAGGTTTCCTGTCAGGACATCCTGGCTTGAAACACAGGTCTGCCACTTAAAAATATAAGATAACTCACAGATGGGAAACTGCTATATCATGTCCTTGAGAATCTCAGGAAACTGTCCGCTCATGAAATAAGAGCTCAAAAGCAAGCAGAAAATCACCCATTCCCATTAATGACAGGCAGTTTTGCTCTCAGGCGAAGAATGCAGGAACATGGGGGCATAAACTGACTCAAGGAATCTGGCCTGGGGAAAGCCCCATGCAGTTTCTGGGCAGACTGGGCCCTTAGACCAACAACCTTCGTCCAAATTTATCCTAAGGACGTGACAAACTCAGTGTACAAGCATTACCACCTAAGCAGTAGGCCCTGTTTTGTTGGTGACTGAAGATTGCCTTTCAATTCCCAAGTGCCCATAGGCCCTGCATGCTTCACCATCTGGCATTGAACAGTGTAAGCAGATCAGTTCGGCAGAACAGTGTAAGGTTATATATTGAATAGTAGCTGTCTCCTTGGGGGAACCCTATAATGAAAGGGAATCCATTAAAAGGAGAGTGTAGGCTAGATCACTGCTCTCCAGGCTTGTCATGGCAAGCTCAGAATCAGAGAGAGCACCCATCCATTCATTAACGCATTCATTCACTCGTTCAATACACATTTATAGAGCATTTCTTTTTTAGATGGAGTCTCGCTCTGCAGCACAGGCTGGAGTGCAGTGGCACAATCTCGGCTCACTGCAACTTCCACAACCTGGGTTCAAGTGATTCTCCCACCTCAGCCTCCTGAGTAGCTGGGACTACAGGCATGTGCCACCACGTCTGGCTTTTTTTTTTTTTTTTTTTTTTTTTTGTATTTTTAGTACAGATGGAGCTTCACCATGACGGTCAGGCTGATCTAGAACTTCTGACTTCAGATGACACACCTGTCTCAGCCTCCTGAAGTGCTGGGATTACAGGCATGAGACTCTGCATCTGGCGTTTTTTTTGTTGTTTCTTTTTTCCTTTTTAAGGAGACCAATTTTATTTAGATAGGGACTACTTTTTTTTTTTTTTTTTTGAGATAGAGTTTCGCTCTTGTTACCCAGGCTGGAGTGCACTGGCACGATCTCGGCTCACCGCAACCTCCGCCTCCTGGGTTCAGGCAATTCTCCTGCCTCAGCCTCCCGAGTAGCTAGGACTACAGGCGCGCGCCACCATGCCCAGCTAATTTTTGTATTTTTAGTAGAGACGGGGTTTCACCATGTTGACCAGGATGGTCTCGATCTCTTGACCTCACGATCCACCCGCCTCGGCCTCCCAAAGTCCTGGGATTATAGGCATGAGCCACCGCGCCTGGCCGTTGTTGTTTGTTTCTTAGACAGGGTCTTGCTCTGTCACTCAGGCTGGAGTGCACTGGTGCACTCACAGCTCAATGTAGTCTCAACCTCCTGGGCACAAGCAATCCTCCCGCCTCAGCTTCCCAAGTAACTGGTACTACTGGCGTG